CTTGGGAGGGAGGAGGGGCAGCACAGGATAGGAAAATCCCAGATGAGATGAATTGATACAATAACCGGGACAATGGGTGTAGGTGTGTCGGAATCAGTGAGAGTGGCTCAGGACAGGGCAGACTTCAGAGCTGTTATACATAGGATCACTATGAGTTGTAAGTGACTCAACAGCACATAATAACAACAACCTTAGATGGAGGTAAAATTTAGGGAAGTAAAGATGAGAGATTTGGTGAAAAGATTTATGAGAAACACCTTAAAAGTTATGGGTCCTGATGAATGCTAATAAATGCCATTGCTTCTGAGCCTTGGTGGACAATGTCTGCTATCATTCTATGGGCAAAAAAGAAAGAAGTCAGTTATAACTCAAGCATGTCATGGTAATGGGAAAGCAGCTACAAGTGATGTGTAATTGAACAAAGAGACTATACTCCAAAACCTACTTTCTTTGTAAAAATAAACAAAAGTCAGATTTGGAATGTGGATCACAGCCTGCCAACCACTGGATCAGCTTATAATATTCAATCTACGTAAATATTCTTACCTAAGTCCACCTCCTTGATTTATTGTTTCCAGACTCTATGGCAGAAAGCTGATAATTTGCAATTGGGAATATATCTATCAGTATGTTGATTATCCTACCACAAAACATATCATTCATAGTATAAGACCCATAATTTTTTATGGCATAATAAGTTCAGTTTTATTTACTCCTTAGGTGTATATTGCTGCTTTTTAATATGTAGAATAAATTTCAATATTGCAATACTTATTTCTTACTGAAAAGATTTCTTTTTAAAAATGCAAACATTTAGCCTCATAAAAGAAAGGTTGGGGGAAATTCTTTGCTCTTTAAGTGAGAGCTGTTCTAACCACCTTGTTTCTGTAAAGGTCAAGCTTTTGAATGACCTGAGGGACCCGAGGAGAGAAGAATCACTCAACATCAGCAGGGTCTATTCTTGAGCCAACTTTGGACTCAAACTCGGATTGTGGCTGGGCTTTGTGAGCTGATATTTTAAAATTACATTATCTCTCAATTATTTGAGCCACTTGTGAGGTTTTCATTATTAAAAATTATTTTCTTGGCACCTAGCATGTATTTCAAAAGTCACAGTGAATATGTCCATTGTTCAGAGACTAAGAGGGCGTTTTCACTAATTCATGAGATATGCATTTGCTTTATTTGCACTAAACCTGGAGGCTCTCCACTTATTCTTTTTCATTCATTTAATCAGAACATGAAAGAAACCTGGATCATTGAAATGTGAAGCGGGTCTTATTGTATGTCATATGTACAGGCGTTACTTCTACAAAAACTGTATTCTTTCACTTGACATAATTTTTAAACAAGACCACATTTGTCAGTGGTCTATTTCTTCTGTATTATTAGAGAATATTACTGTGACAATCATAATTGATCTGACAAAATGGCTTCATGTTGTCACTATTTTTACTTTTCTAAGCTTCCGTTGATGAAAATAAATTCTCAAGGAGCAATTTATGAGTTGGATTAATATTATGTTTTTATGTGAGCACTAGACCAAAGATCTGTTGGCCTTTTAGTATAGATTTTCTGAATTCTCTTATTCAGTTCACCTTCTTAGCTCAGTGTCCCTCTCACTTTCTTTTCTGTCTCTCTTTCTCTTTCTTCACACACAGAAAATAGAAACTGTAGTATTTCATCTGATATTTGATGAACACATGAACTCATATTCTTTATATTTAATAATAATAGTACGATCACACACAATTTAGGTGAAAGCATTTCCCAAGCTCTAAGGTTCTCCATAAAGAATGCAATGCTTTTAATATTTCACTTTACTTGAGAGTAATCCTATTTCAGCAAGTCCTAAACAGACAGGCCCATCAAGTTCATGTTGTTGTTGTTGTTGTTGTTATGTGCTGTCGAGTTGCTTGCAACTCAAAGCGACCCTATGTACAACAGCCCTAAACTCTGCTCTGTCCTGTGCCAGTCGCACTGTCGCTGACAGTCCCATCCTGATTACTCCAGTCACTGAATCAATCCACCTCATAGAGGGTCTTCCCCTTCTGCACTGTCCCTCCACCCTCCCAAGTATGATGTCCTTCTCTAAGAACCGGTCTCTCCTCAGAACATGTCCAAAGTATGTTAGATGGAACCTCGGAATCCTTGCCTCCAAGGAGCCACCTGGTTTAACCCTTTCCAGGACGAATCTGTTTGTTTTCCTAGTAGTCCATGGTATTCTCAATACTCTTCTCCAGCACCACAGCTCAAAGGCATCAATTCTCCTTCTATCCTCCTTGGTCATTGTCCAACACTCTGATGCATAACAAGTGATTGCGAAGACCATGGCCTGTATCAAACGCACCTTAGTCTCCAGGGAGACACCATTGCTCTTCAGTACTTTGGAGAGGTCCCTAACAGCAGACTTTCCCACGGCAATGCGCCTTTTGATTTCCTGGCTACTGGTGCCAAGAGTGTTGACTGTGGAGCCAAGCAAACTAAAGCTGTGAACACTCTCAATCTCTTCACCATCCATCCTGATGCTGCCAATTGGTCCAGTGGTAAGAATCTTTGTCTTAACATTGAGCCTCAGTCCATATTGAAGGCTGCAGTCCTTGACCCTCTGTAGCAGGTGCCACTAAGCAGAAAGAAGGGGAAACTATACAAGAAGACAGAAATTTAAAAATTAATCTAACAAAGTAAAATGCAAGGAAAAACTTAAAATTTTACAATTTTTGATCCTAAATAACCAACTGCACAAGATCATACAAGTATTAATGACATTTTAGTCTCAGAAAGTTCAGTATAATGCAAGAATAACTTATAACCATAAGAAAATAAATGTTGAACTCAAGATGTATTAAAAATAGAACAGTACTTAAAACAAGGTGGATATGAATCATGTATGCTCTTTGTTGGCCAAAGCATTACTGAAGAATTTTGTTGTCTAGTTTTCACTACTTCATTCAAGAAGTAGAGACAGAAATATATGGATATATGCGTTTGAATTGTTCATGATCATTTATGTAAAGACTTAGTATAAGATAAGCACTCAGTTAATGGTGAGTCTTACTTATTTTTGTCAGCATTGTTTGAAATTTGAAAATTGTTTGACAATTGTTGAAGATAGAGGCAACTATGGCAGTTAAAGGAGCCACTACTTTGGAGATGATTGAGACATTAGAGATGTTCAACACAGAGAGGATATGACTCAGCGGATACATAAGGAAGCTCTTCTAAGAACTATAGGGTTGAACTATGGCAGAAGAAATTTGGAATTCTGTGATGCACAGGAGGGGAAGGCCCTGCGGGAGATGGATTGATTTTGTGACTGGGGCAATCGGGATGAGTGTGTCGGAGACAGTGAGATTGGCACAGGACAGAGTAGAGTTTAGAGCTGTTGTACATAGGGTTGCTATGAGTCGCAAGTGACTCGACGGCACATAACAACAACAATGATCATCAAAGGAGCTCTGGTAGCCTAGTGTTAAGAAGATGCATTGCAATCCCAAAGGCACGTGGTTTGACTAGGCCACCTGCTCCACAGGAGAAAAATGGGTAGTTTCCTCCATGCGATTTTCTGTCTCTGAAACTCTACTGGACAGTTAGCTGGTAATCAACAGCGTGATTCCAAAGGGAGTGCTGGGGGAATTGTTATTTGTCATCAAGTCAGAACTGACCCATGCTGAGCCTCTGAGTTTTCAGAGGCAGTAAATCACACAGGAGGAGATTGCTTATCTTTCTCCCAAAGGACAACTGGTGTATTTCAACCATGTACTTTTGTGTTGGAAGCAGGAGTGGCATCCACTTCCTAAACAACATGCCTCCAGAAACTCTATGAACTTTGATAAATGTCAATCGTTATAGAGGAGCTTCAGGCCTTTTGTTCATAGCGTCACTATGAGTCATGGTTGACTGGAAGGCCATAAACAACAACAACCTTTGTGTTGGCAGCACAATTCCTTACCACTGAGCCACCAGAGGTCCCTAAGAAAAGAGTGTAAGTGCCTGATTTTCACCCATATGAGTTCTTGCTTGTGTATGCATTTTCAAGTGCTCAGTTTAGTCATAATTCTTAATTAGAAGTATAGTTTTAAGAAAATATTTATAAAGTATGAACTGCCAAAGAACATACTTTTCCTTTTTAAACTCAGAAATGTTTCCATTTTCATTTGGCAGCTCTACAGTCAACATTAGGAAGAGAAAGGGTGTGTGCCTGTGTGCAGGTACATACATATCTTGAACAAAATGATGCTGGGGCCAAGGTACTAATGAATCTCTAAGAAATCATTCCTATGTGTTCTATAATGTATTTCCAAGGTTTGGGTTCCATGGTGCAGCCATTCCAATAGTTCCCAAATGATAAAGCTTCTTTAACCTCATTTTTAAACAGGATGGAAAGATATTCTGTCGAAGGACAGCTTGTGACTGCCAGAATCCAAGTGTTGACCTTTTCTGCTGCCCAGAATGTGACACCAGGGTCACAAGTCAATGCTTGGATCAAAATGGACACAAGCTCTATCGGAGTGGAGACAATTGGACCCACAGCTGCCAGCAGTGCCGATGTCTGGTATGTCTGCTTTCCTTTCGAAGGTATCGCCCCTTAATCCTGGAAGGAGTTGTAACCTCAGTTACTTAGAAACTCTGACTCCTGGCTGTTGATGAAATGGGGGGACCTGGTGCTCCTTATAGGCAAGGGTGTTGAAACTTCATCTCACATTTTTTGGGCATGCTGTCAAGGGGGGGCCAGTCCTTGGAAAAAGACATCATGCTGGAAAAGGAGGAGGGTCAGAGAAGGAGAAGAAGACCACTCACCAAGATTGTTTGACACAGAGACGATAAGAAGGGGCTAGAGCATGTTAGAGATCATGATGATAGCACAGGATAAAGCCAGGTTCGGATCTCTTGTTTGTAAAGTTGGTCTGATGGTACCTAACAACACAGTACATGACTGGTAAGGAACATGTTCTTTGTTCAAAGGCATTTGGGTTTCACTTAGTAAAACATTTTGTGTGACAAAAATAACATCATTAGGCAACAGATTCGATCCAAAGGAGGTAAACTTGCCACCTCTTTCTTTTTAGGAAATGGAGATCTATATGCACACACACACACACACACACACACACACACACACACACGTATGTTGTTCTGTGCTCAAAATCGAAGTTAAAGTCTTGGCTGGTATTTGTAGTTCTAGACAAAGAAAATATTTTATTTCAAGATATAGAGCATTGATATTTTAATATGAGAAGTAACAGAACTTAATAGATATCAGAGAATGAGTTTCAGGGACCTGGTGTCTAATTCTGGCTCTCCCACATTCTCACTCGCTCATTCATTGTCATTGAGGCTGAATTAACGTTCTTTGGGATTCCAAATCTATAAAAATTGCATCGAAGGAGACTGGCCATCCTTCTCCCACGAACTGCAGAGCTGAGCTATGGGAGAGGCGTGGCCTTTGCGTTAGTGGTGTAACTCCTTATGCACTAGACCACTCGAGCCCTCCCATGTATGCAGTTGGGGTGGTGTAAACCTTGGCAAATGTTACCTTTAATGATGATTCTTTCCTCAAATATTCCACAAGTGTATGAATGCCAATTTCATGGACTTTTTGTTTTTCATTATGAAGATAAGAATATTGTTGTTGTTGTGTACAATCAAGTTGGAACTGACCCATGCTGGACCCTCCAACAGGGGTTTTCAGAGGCAGTAATCATGCGGTAGGAGATTGCCCATGCTTCTCCCATGGAGCACCTGGCAGATGAAGAAAAGTGTGTGTGTGTGTGTGTGTGTGTGTGTGTGTGTGTGTGTGTGTAACAGATGTTAAACTTCTATCTAGAAAATAGTGAAGACTATTGTATTTTTTTCTATAAATTTCCATCAGAATTTCTAAGTTATTTGGTGACTATTCAGATAATTTTAATATTATACATTTTTTTCTGATTTACAGAATAGTGAATAAAATTCAGTTCTATTTGTACCAAATTCAAAGAGATAAACAAAAATAAAGGCATCATACAACTACAGAATGAGTTTCTTTTTCAGAACAAAAACGTTCTATCATTTTTATTAAAAGCCTGTAATCAGGCCCTCAGAAGAATTGGTATTATTGTTAATGCAAAAAATTTCAACAATATATCTTTACCTAGCCCCAGCCCCTGCTGAAGATATATAGATTAATGTGTCCAAAGGAAACAGAAGTGGTATAGCAAAAATCTAAAATCAGTTAAGAACTGTATGTTGTTGTTATGTGCTGTACAGTTGAGTATGACTCATAGTGAGTCCATGAACAATAGATCCGAACCTTGTCCTATCCTGTGGCATCTTCATCATCTCTCACATAGTCAAACCCATTGCTCCTGTCACTGTGTTGGTCCAGCCCACTGAGGACCATCCTTTCTTTCCAAGCATGTAAATCTACTTTTCTAAGGAATAATGTCTCTCAACCACATACCAAAAGTATGTGAAATTGAAGCTTCACCATCATTTCCTCCAAGGAACAGTCTGGCTGTACTTTCTCCAAGACATACCTGTTTGTTATTTTAGCAGCCCATGGTATCCATAAGCAAATGGATCTACCATGAAGTAATCTGTACAAATGCAGGCAGTTATTACGTACTAACATATGATAGAGGCTTCAGTTGCACTATTAAAGAGTCACATTGGACGGATGCAGATTGTGGAGTTGAAAATGTTCCAATGTTTACGATTCCACTTTTCACCATAAGGAAAAGTAATTTTGTTTTTATATATCAACCAATATCTTGCAATCTATTTATACATTTAATTAGCCTTGATTGACCAATCACCATGCTGAGCATCAATGAAAGAAAGAAACCAGCCCTAAAACGGAAGAATTTAGCATCTTATATGGACTCCACTTGTAATTATGATAATGTCTAGACATATTGTGATTAAAACAATTGCACACTAGTATGGGGAAAGCTCTGGTCCTGTGTGCACTCGGCAATGAGGTGTGCTAGGGGTCAGCTCTGCGTCAGAATTAACTCAAATGCAATGGGAGGTTACAATGACTAATAATTTAAGCACTTTACTTTTAGACAACAAAAAGTTAGCCATTCAAACCCATCTAGAAGTTCTCTGAACAAATGACTAGGGACGTCCAATGAAAGTCATAGCCTTAAGAACTCAGTGGAGCAGATCTACTCTGCAATAGATGGGATCACTACAGGTAGGACCTGACTCAACTAATTACCTAGGGATTGGTAAGAGAAGGTGCCTAGTCGTATCTAGGGGCTACAGTACAGGTGGTTAGCAAAAGCACACTGATTAGGTGATGTCTGTGGTGAGTCTACAAGGAGAAAACATATCTCACTACAGTGCTAAGAAGAAACTTCCAGTAAAATGGAGAATAAGAATTTCTGTGCCCTCTTTCCTCGTCATGGGATTTTGGGAATAGAATCACGAATAAGAACAATGAAGAAGCCTATTTCTTTTCCCCTCCACAGGAAGGAGAGGTGGATTGTTGGCCACTAGCTTGCCCCAATTTGAGCTGCGAGTTCACAGCCATCTTCGAGGGCGAGTGTTGCCCCCGCTGTGTCAGTGACCCCTGCCTGGCTGATAACATCACCTATGACATCAGAAAAACTTGCCTGGACAGCTATGGGGTTTCAAGGCTCAGTGGCTCAGTGTGGACAATGGCTGGATCTCCCTGCACAACCTGCAAATGCAAGGTGATTGGGTGTCTTGATAGTCAGGGTTTAAACAGTTGTTGGGGAATGTTCACAGGAGGTCTGCACCTGATGCTTCTGAATGTGTAGGTTCTGTGGACACAGTGGAAGCATAGGCCTGCATTGGCTTCTCACAGGAGGTTCAGGTGTCTGAGTGAAACAGAGCTGCACCTTGTAGAAAGGCAAGTTCCAAATGAACATAAAGGCCTTTTGCCTTGCCTTTAACTATAGAATTTGAGTAATTGGCACTAGGACAAATGATGGCTAATTTAAACTATTTTGACCACCATAATTTTTTAAAGAACAAAAAAAAAAGAGATACATTTCATTTCACCCTTGAAAATTTTACAAGGCTCTTTCATGAAAGGGTTCCAAGTTAAAAATACTAATCTTGGTCACGTCATCTCTGGCTTAGCTCCAGGCATCAGTGTCTTTTGGATGCTGTGAAAAAAGAAACATGAATTCCTTTCTCTTTCCCCCACCAAATGCAACTTTAGATAGCCCCAATAGCAAAGGGATAATATTAAACTTCAAATAATCAACACACCATAGTCCAGTCTAAACCATCAGCCTCAGAGCCCAAGATGTTCAAGACACATGGAAGCTGATGTGACTGTTTCTTTGAGACTCATTCAGATTTAACATAAAGCTCCCTGGTAGCACAGGGGTTAAACATTAGACAGACTACTAACTAAATCTTGATGACTAGAGCCTATCCAGTAGATCTGGAGGAGAAAGGCCTGGCAATCTGCTTCTGTAAAGTTTGCAACCTTGAAAACCCTTTGGGAGCCATTCTCCTCTGTCACTTGGTATCACTTCACTTAAAATCACCTCAAGAACACCTAATGAGAACAACAGGGTTGTCTATAATATTGCCATTATATTGGCTGATATTCATGAATTTCCAAGGATTCATGACATTTACATGTATATATTTTATGTATACCTGTATTTTCATGAATTTCCAAAGATTCATAACTTGTACAGATGTATGATACCCTTCAGAGAAGCCATAAAAATTGTATATAACTTTATGTAAAACTTTCTGGAACACCTCTTGAATTTGCCTTCAAACTCATGTGGCACTTATGATTAGCTTTATTAATGTGTTTATCATTAGGAAGAATCAAATGTTATTTGGAATGAGAAAAAAAAGTAAGTTGTTTTGAAATCTTGACAGTATAGAGCAGAATTCCAAACATGGTTTCAGTGCAGGCAAGGGCGGAACTTCGCACAGCTAGGAGAACTCCAGTAAGAAGGTTTTAGTGGTAGGGGAGCTCCTAAGATTTTCTTTCCTGTCCATTTTCCCCTCCTAGAGGTTTTGTGGTTTTAATCTGTAGGGGCTTGTAGTAATTTTTTTCTAAAGCAATCTCAGAGTTTCTTTCAACATGTAGGTGTTTGTTTTGAATGTAACAATGCCAGAGTAGGATTTGATTTATATATTCAGTGTCTCAAATGACTTACATGTGTGTCTTTGATATGCAGAATGGAAGTGTCTGCTGTTCCGTGGACCTGGAATGTCTTCATAATAACTGAAGTATTTAAAATGGACTCATCACTGAAGAAAAATGGACAAAACAGACCATTCAACACGCTAGGGAGCAGGATTTGGTCTTTTCCATCACAGACAATTACCAAAGTCTCCATCTGAAGAAGGTGGCTGGGGATTGCCTTTCTGGACCTACCACTTTGCTCATTCTTGCTACCCTAGTGTAGGTGACCTCCAGTGCAGTGCATTTGAGTCTATGATTGTTTGGAGAAGTTCCCCGTGTTGTATATCACATTTTCCCCTTATCAGATCAAATACATTTCTATGGTCTCATAGTAAGCGTTGCTGTATGTTTCCGTTTATTTTGTATACTGACATAATAGAGATCTGTTGCCCTTTATTTATTTTTTTTCTTGCTTTTTGGATCAAATTCTATGAATAAAGTTGCCTGTTGTGATTTTTGTCCCATACGCTGCATACTAATGTCCCAGTCAATTGTATTGATGAGAGATGTATGTAGAGTCCAATTGCATCACTGATATATTTAATAGTTTTTAAACACACTTAGAAATCCAGTCAGTTAGCTTGAGCAGGCTGAAGACAATTATGATCTATGGCTTGGGATCGTGGCAATACAAAAGTAATTAAAATAACCTTTAAAACAATTCTCTCCTTCCTTTTGGAAATCAAATAGAATGAAATTTTAACTTCAGATTCAAAAGGAACAATGCTTATAACCTTCTTTGACAGTGAAAGATAAAATATCTTAGTGTCACTTCTGATTATACAAGACACTTTCATACTTATTAAGAAAAGTTATCACCACAAGTAAATGGTGTTATATATCACTTTACATATTTGAAACCAGAGAGCCCTAATCAACTGGCTTGTTCAAAGCTAGTTGATATCATGTTGAGATAGGTACTGGGTATTTTCATTCCTGTCCTGTGATTGTTCCCACAAAATCATGCTATCTTTTCTGTAAGTAAAAGGGAGCTTTTAAGAAAATCTATTTGTATGTTCAGCAGCTCTTTTGGAGTCGTGAAAATTTCTGTCTGAACCACTTCCATGCTTTTAAGAGTTGGCAGTTATTGAGCTATACAAAATGTGTAAAATGTGCAAATGGAATTTTATCTGATTTTAGAATTCTAAAGGAGGTTGTCTCAGGTAAATCACATGTTAGTAGTTAGTAAGATCTGAGGTCATATATTCATTATTGTTCAGAATCAGGTTGCTTCATGTATGTTTTGCTTTCCCTCTCCCAGCATAAAAAAAAAAACACAAACTTTCTTAATGAATCATTCATGCTAAAAATCTTTTAAATCTCCATTCTTCAGAGAACTATTAATTAAAAATAACAGACTCAGATCACCATTGTTCAGTGGTATTTGTTCAATGTGATGCTATTCTATTTTTTTGTATTAAGTTGGAATGCATGACAAGAAATTCATTCCTGTGTGAAATTATGACAACAGCCATTTCAAAGTCACATTTTACAACTATTGCTGTAGTATGGCGAGTGAACACACATTTCTATTTTTCAACATTTTTTTATTGGTTTGCTTACAGAGTATACATACATTGTGTTTCACACTATTCTTCATTCATATTGTGTTTCGTGCAATCATTCCAATGTGTTATGGGTTTTTTTTAAATTATTATAGTGGTTTATTTAAACAGATTGAATACATTTCTTTTCGCACATTGTAATGGAGAATTTGCAGATTGTTCTTTTAAAGATGTAACTCCATTTGAAAATGCATTTCCATACGAGGAAAGCATAGACATGTACATGAAAATTGTTGATTGGATAGGCCCGGGATTAGCAAACTATGATCCCTGGTGCCCCATCTTGCCATCTCCTTGTGTTATTGGAACAGAGCCATAGCCAATGTCTACAGACAAAATTGAGTACTTCTAGTACAGACCATGTGGCTTGTAAAGCTGAAAATACTACTATTTTGCCTTCTAAAAAAGAAGGTTTCTCAATCCCTTCTGTACTTGATGACTGAATACTAGTATGCACTTCCATTGTATCAAAAATTTTTTTTAAAAAAACAGCAGTGGTGATAGAATTTGCAATTTGCACATACTTTATTGCTGTGTCACTAGCATTGATGACTTGTCCTAACATACCCATATTTTTTTAAGTGAGAAAAGAAGAACCAATATTTCATCTTTTTTTTTAAACCTAGTGTGGTAAATTTAATTTGTGCTAACGTGATGACAAAATGTTATTGAGATTTAGTCACATAATTTAATATGCTGCCTGCTCCCCTGTCAATAAGGCATTTACTTCCTATAAAATAAGTGATGACGTTTACTTATTTAAAGTTGCTGAGGACTTTACACATAAAATACCCTGCTAATATATGCCAGAAAAATTAAAAAAAATGAATGAAAGAAAGGTTTGCTTTGAAGATTAGCTTTTTGTGTGCTGTAGAAGGGACTGACAGTCTTTAAATCTTTCAGGAACTTCTATTGAAATAAATTACTACCTGAAATACTTTCTTTGCCAAGAAGTTAAAAAAAAAAAGAGTTTCTATTTTTCTCAATGTTGTAAATCTCCTGATATGTTGTAAATCTCTTACAATAGTTAAGCCTAAGTCTATATTTTTGCCTTGTAAAATTAGTGTCTATTCTGTTAACCAAAGCAGTGTTTGGAAAAATCCATGTATTTATAGGCTATAACTAAAGGTTACAACACAGCATGTGTAAAAATGTGAAGACATTAATTAGCTAAAAGATAATGAATCAATATGTTGTTGTTGTTAAATGGCGTCGCGTCATAGGCTACTCATAGTGACCCTATGAACGAAAGTTCTCAACATTTGTAAACTTTCATCCTTTCTCCAGATTCATAGGGTTTCCAGAGGAAAGCAATTTCAGAAGTGGATGCCACTCCTGCTTCCAAACTTGTTTTAATCGGGGAGCTCCACCAAACACTGTCCACCATGGGTAAACATGCTCACATTTGACACATCAGTGTCACAGTGTTCAACTTCACAACAACCACAAGTTACCTCTGTACAGCAAGTGGACAGACCAGGGCGATATGACCTAGAAGAATGTTTAACCAATGAAGAATGAGTCAATATATCAATGATAGTTTAAACACAATTTGATTCAATAGAATCAAATATAGAAAAAATGAAAATTCTATAAATTAACTGGACATGTAATTGTAAAGCACAAATTTTACCTTATATTTTCAAATTATGTGTCAGTTATTTCTTTCTTTTTCCTGTCTACCTTTCCCACCTCGCTCCTTCCTTTGGTGCCTTCATGACTTTGATAGCGGGTTTTTGTTTGTTTTCATTTCTATCATCTATCCTTACATGGTGGTGGTGGTGTAATGTGTCAACAAATCTCTTCGACTCATAGCACAACAGCTCTGAACCCTGCTTTATCCTGAACCAACCTTACTGCCTCTGACACACCTACCCACATTACCCTAGTCACTGAGTCAATCCATGTAATCGAGGGTCTTCCTCTCTTACACTGCCCCTCTGCCCTCCCATGCATGATGTTCCTTCTTGCAACACGCCCAAAGTATGTCAGATGGAGCTTCAGAATCCTCCAAGAGCAGCCTGGTTTCACCCTCTTCAGGCAAGCCTGTTCTCCTAGCAATCCATGATATATTTATTACTTTTCTCCAGCACAACAGTAAGTCCCTTTTAAAATATGAAAGTGGATTTAGTGCCTTTATGTGCAAATCAAATAAAGGCAGACTTTCTTCGACTGAAAGAATTGGAGAGGAAGAACTCTTTCTTATACCTCACCACAACTCATGATGCTCAATCAAATACACTGACAACGATGACCTTCACTGGTTCAGAAGAGAAAAGCATGTTGCCAGAAGGTACAAGTCCTTATAGAGGGACATCATGCTTTGAAGGATGTAGGGACAGCACAGGAGAGGAAGATCCTAGATGAGATGGATTGACATAGTAATGGGAGTCATGAGGGTAGATGTGTCAGAGACAGTGTGAGATTGGCTCAGGATAGGGCAAGATTCAGAGCTATGGTGCATAGGGTCACAGTGAGCCACAAACTCAATGGCACATAACAACAACAATTTCTTTATATAGTTACTCTATTATTGAGGCAAGTGGCTCAAATCAACTAGCTCTTTTGCAAGCAAAAGATAGTCAAACTTGTGTGCAATTTACAGTCCCTGAAAAGCCTCAAGTTGACCAGGTTTGAGTCAGTTCCAACTTGAAGGCACTTAACAACAACAACCTATCATCTAGCATAAGGGAATTATTTTTAAAAATTCTCAAAGCTTCTCCATCACTGAGTTTTATAGGTCTGTGCTTATGTCACTTTTATGGATTTGTAATACCTTATATTTTCTGTATTACAGTTATGCATTGTTATTGTTATTATGTGCTGTCAATTCAGAACCAACTCATCACTGACCCTTTATGAGGCTGGAGAGCACATGAGAAGAGATTTCCCATCTTTGTCCCATAGAGCAGCTGATGGATTCAAACCTTCCATCTTGGAGTTGGCAAGCTAACTCTTTATCCACTAGTCTACCAGAGCTCCCTTACAGTTGTATACATGTCTACTAAACATTCTAGGATTACCTTTAACTATTTCACTCTTAAACATCCACCACAAAAAAATAAAAGAATTAAAAACACAAAAACCTAAAAACATCTACCACAATAACTTGAACAGACGAGACTTGCAATTGATCCATTAAAAGTTGCATTAATAATCTTCCATATTATCAGAAAGTTATAATAATATATTGGAAATAGTCCAGTATAGTGCTTTTCATATGATCTTAACAATAAGTCCCTTTTAAAATATGAAAATGGATTTAGTGCTTTTATGTGCGAATCAAATGAAGGCAGACTTTCTTCGATTGAAAGAATTAGAGAGGCAGAACTCTTTCTTATACCTCACCACAACACACGATGCTCAATCAAATACACTGAAAACAATCACCTTCACTGGTTCAGAAGAGAAAAGCATCCTTTAGAACAAGTGAGTAGTGCAAAGAGCACAACTAATTAGCTCTAGACCTAGAATTACCACCCAGTCCCTCTACTTTACTCAGTGCCATCCCACTGATAATTACAAATGGTTTTTTTCCTACACTTCAATTTAAAATGGGCTTTTATTACCTCTTCTAAATGGATGATATTAAAAGACAATCATGGGTGAGCTGTAGTATCTGTTATTATCTCTCTGTTCCATGTCCTTCTAACTGTGATAATGCTTTATGAAAACTCTGATAATGGCTGTTATGAAACATACAGATTAAAACCCCAGACAGCACGTCTATAAATGCACAACAATGAGCTCTTTATGCAATCTCATTCTTCATAGGAAAATAAGTGAGGCAAAAAAAAAAGTTTACAAATCCAATTATTCCTTGTGATTAACACACACATACACACAGTCAAATAAAAAGACATTTCTTATTGAGCAGAGAAATCAATGTTTTA